TGAATATTTTGCTCAAGCAGCTAGTGGTGTCGAATCTTTTGGGGGGGTGTTTTACTTGGTGCCGTTAGTTAAAATTAAAGGAACAATGAAGGAGCAAGTCTATCTCAATATTCTCCAAACAAATTTTCTGAACTTTGGAGACAAAAGCGCATACCCTGAGGAAGAAGTTGTTTGCCAATAGGACCGAGATCCAAAGAATTTAGAAAACATTCGACACCACTGGCTGTTTCAGTAAAATTTTCACGTAATGCCGTGGCCAACGCCATCGAAAAATTTTGCACTGTGGTCAAGAGGGGATTGTCATAGCACGGGTAAGCTCCGGGTAAATCGGAAGAGCTTTGGATGCGAGTAAAATTAGAATGGGTTAATATTCCAAGCGAAATTATAGAAAACTCAGTAGAGAGCATCCTCGGACGTATCGCAATTAAAAGCAATGAAGTCTCCACAATCCTGTTGGTATCAACCTTCAAAAATCTCAAAACAGGAAATTTCAAAACTTAGTGAATACAGTTGCCTCACGTTTTTGCTGTAAATCGCTTGTTTCTTGTTAAAGAATAGCTTTTCTGTATACTAGGTTTTATTTATTGGATAGTGAAGACCAATTTCTGAAAATTGCAAAGCAATCCGCTTATTATTAAAAAAATGATACTATAATAAAATGTTGTTTTTGGTTTTGTTGTTGTAGCAGCTACTACAACAACAACAAAATTTTATTACTTGCATGCACTCGGTTTTGGTCGCCAGTGTATGTACATATCTAATAAGGGCAGTCAATGTGCCTTGTGATGACATCATAATTTGCTCGATAAGCGCTCCTACATGCACTCATAAAATTTGATAAGAATTAAGTATTTAAATAATAATAGCTAATAACGTTTTATACAATAAACATTCCTGATGTGTTTCTATTTTACCGTCAATCAACTTGTACAATAATACTTACTGTCCTTCTTTAAAATACTCTTTTAACGTTGTGCTGAACTTTTTGGAGTATTTTACAAATTCCTTTTTGCGCTGCTCGACAGCTTGTTTGCCTGTGACACCGGGTATAAACGAGCCAATTTCATTAACGACATCTAGTAGCTTTTTTATTGCGCTGGCGATTTCTCTAAAATATCAGTAAAATAAACAAATTAGTGTTTTGAGAATATACTTATTTTAACTTATGCGCACTTAATGGTCTCCAAAAAGGCTTTGCGATCGGTAATCTCATCTGGAATTCGACTGAGTATAACTTTGAGCGCAACCGATTTGCGATTCAATTCTTGGAATGGTTCTTCAGTTCTTGTAAGACGATATTCATTTACTGCAAAAACGTAATCAATTAGTAAACAATCGAATCAATTCAAATGTTATTTTAACTTACGATCCGCATCCGCTATGTTGCCTTGTAAACGCAGCACTGCCTCATTGAGATTAACATTCAGTTCTGCGCGACGTATAATGGCCGCCACGAGGTCATAACACAAACCTGGATTATTTTGTTCACATTTCATTATGGCTGAACGCAGCGACTGTGCTGCGCCCACATCTCGGCGTTCCAACTGCAAGCAAGACAGGGCAAAAATTATATTATACAAATTAACTTATATTTATTAGATAGAATTAGCTGTGAAATACAAATTGGCTGCAGATCTAATTGCAGCATGAGACATTCCACTTGCATTTCCACTCCATCAAACTCACAAACCTTGGCGAATATTGGCCTCAGCAATACTGGAAAAATCAGTGAAGACGTTGGTGTATCTCCACCCATTGTCATTTTCAAAGAATTCCTACGCTGTTTTTTCTTTGTGAGACTTTTTATAATATTCCAATAATTTAATATTTAACACGGAAGAACAAAAATCCATAGAAAAATAAAATAGCGAAAACGAATTCCAATAAAGATAGCAGCACAGTATAGATAGGGTTCGAACGATACTATCGACATTGAGTAAGTATCGATACTGAGGGTATAAAAATGAGTACTTTAATGCTCGATACCTTAATTGGTGATTTTACTTTAGATTACTATCATTCAATTTTGTCCATCACATAAAATAAACTGAAATTTCGTGTAGTCTGTTACATAACATAAACCTAGTAAGTTAAAGTTTAATGGCCTTATTCATAAAAAATAAAGCAGGCTTAAAGAGCTTAAATAAAATGACACTTTCATACAATTTTCAGTTTATAAACCTTTTTTTATTTTTATGAATAAGGCCATAAAACTTTACTTTAAAGTTCACGAAAATACAGAATTTTTAGAAACTTTTAGGGTATGCAGTTTTGTAACCTATTAAACTTTCCGTGTACCCTACTACCGTTGACTTTTAATTAAAACTTGCACAATATTATACAAAATTGAATAGGCTAGGGAATAAGTTTCCAAAAATTCTTAATAAAAATTAAATTCGTGAAAGTAAATATGTGTGTATTTATGTATGTACATTTAACGTTTAAATTACTTCTAACGTGGAAGTAAGTTCTGCAATGAAATAAAAATCAAATATTTTAAATGTCTATTGTTTTAATTTCAGGAAATAACTAGATATACGATTGAAGAATAAAATAATTTTAGTTTCCCAAAAAACGTATTTTAATGAATCCGATACTGAGTAGCATCGATACTTTTTCCCTGATACTTTTAGAGTATCGATACCATGAGCTCGATGCAGGAATGAGTACTCAGTATCGATATTAAAGTCTGAAATTTCGAACCCTAAGTATAGATAGCAGACCCAAAGAGGGACACCTATATAATTCATAAGGCTGATTCACATACAACTTTCTTCGCTTTGCTTGATAGTTCTTTGCTTTGACATATAAGATCGATGTAGGCATATGCATGAGTATGCTCACAAAAAAAAACGTTTGAAGCAAAGCAAAGCAAAACGAAGCAAAATCTTGGGCAACTCTCAACCTTTGCCCGCTTTGGCAATCAGCTGTCTACATGTATCTTTCCTCGTGCGCTTGCATTTGCATTTAATGACAAAAATAGGCTAAATAGGAATTATTATTGCTATTATTAATGCATATACAGATAAAAAATATGGAGGAAAAGGAGAACGCAAAAGCTGTCAAAGCGTTTATTGTAGCACACCTTCTGCGTTTCACGCTTTGTTGTCAAAGTTTGAACTGTCAAACAAAGCGAGGAAAGTCTTATGGGAATGTCCCTATAAATACTTGGCAGATGACATTCTACATGTCAATAACAAACGAGATGTGTTTAGCGGACGTATGCGCTGAGCAGTTGACCTGTGATGCCGCATCACAATTTTTTTTTCTACTTAAATGCCCTCACAAAACCAAAGAACGTAAATGTATACATTTACGTTCTTTGACAAAACCAACAAAAAGTTGAAGACCATTCCAACCGTTTTGAACAAGGGCGATTTAAAAAGAAAAATTACCATATTTTGCAATTCTACTTTAAGGACAATTTTAAAAAATGTTTTGTTTATGTGTCACATGTAAAACTACATCCGTTCAGGCATACGGGACAAAGTTAAATCAGAAATTCGACAGATGTTAAGACACATTTTGTAGAAAGTGGAGACGTGGGGTAACATTCATCCTACTGGACAGCTGAGTATGTTGGACCAATTAGAAAGTCAGCTGTTGACAGCCTTCCTATTAACCAATAGATGTCGCGAAATCTACGAATTGTCAAATGCATTTGAATTTATCACCCTATATTCCGGTAGTGCATTCCAGTGGAAGTTTTGTGATCTATCCCTGTTCTGACATTCATTGTTTCTGATTAGCAGAGTTTCCTTCAATCTCCTCCTTTTGTACACGATTTTGTCAAAATTTGCAGAACAAAAGAGCATTAAATAGATGTAGGATAAAATAAAGTGCATATCAAGAGCAATACAATGTTAAAAGTAAGTACGTCGCAGTGTCTACAAATCTAATTAACTAATTCGCAATGTGCCATTATTCCTTTTCTTCTCAATAGGTTTCTACTGGACAAGGCAAAGGACTCCGCTCCTTTGAGGAAGTATGGCCGGAAAAACGACTTATAGTTTTAAAGCTATTGAACCAGGAAACTGTGTCACAATTAGAATGGCAGGAATTGTTTTACGGCGTACATTTAGTGTGCCTATGGGATGAGAAAGGTGCCGCAAAAATTTACGACTGCCTGCGCGCGGATATTGTGGAATTTGTAGTACACGCTCAACGTAAAGTGCAATCACAACGCGGCGAGCACGCGCTACTTACGACATACATTATAGAGTGGCGCAAATTCTTCACACAATCCAACTACCTTCCGTTGCCTTTTCGTCAATTAGAGCAATCGCTGCAGTTCAAAGTACCCACATCTTCTACGTCAACATCAGCATCTAGTTCCTCTGCAGCCAGCACAAGTGCTAATACTGCGTCAATTTCAGCGGCAGCCGGCCCATCAACATCTGCCGCTGCCGCTGCAGCGTCGTCATCTTCCACGTCCGGTGGCAACAATAGTAGTAAAAAGAATCCCACTGACGATTCTATTGTTCGCAAATTAATGCTAGACTCGTGGAATGAAAATATCTTCCGTGATATAAAAGATCGCCTACAGGAATCTGCCATGAAAATTGTACATGCCGAACGAAATGGTGATGCCTACGATGCTCAACTTGTTATTGGAGTACGAGAGAGCTACGTGAATTTGTGTTCGAACCCAGATGACAAATTACAAATCTATAGGGAAAACTTTGAGGCGGCTTACTTAAAAGCCACGACGGCATTCTATCGCCTCAAAACAACAGAACAACAGCAAGCAAATGGTGTATTAGCCTTTATGAGATATGCAGACGCCAAACTGCGTGAGGAAGAGGCACGTGCGAAACGCTATCTTGAACCGAGCAGTTATGGTGTGCTGGCACAGACTTGCGTCAAGGTGTTGGTCGGGGATCATATGAATACCATCATCGCCGAATGTGCAGCGCTCATAAAAGAATACGAAACAGAAAAGTTAAACCTTATGTTCCGTCTGTTGGATCGTGTGCAGGATGGGGTTGAACCAATGCTACGCGACTTGGAATGCCACATTGTTACAGCAGGTCTAGCTGATATGCTATCTGCATCTGATATAATTACACAAGACTCAGAAAAGTATGTAGAGCGGCTGCTCGAGTTGTTCAATAAGTTCAGTTCATTGGTTAAGTACGCCTTCAACGATGATCCGCGCTTTTTGACGGCACGTGACAAGGCTTTCAAGACTGTTGTCAATGATACTAGTGTATTTAAGGTGAATTTCATGTTTGAATTTACATGTTTTGGGTGTTATTGTTCGTTTTATATGGCTTACAGCTTGAGCTGCCCACCGGCCTAACAAACCGCGGCGTCAAGTCCATCGCTCCGGAGAGCAAGTGTCCTGAACTTTTAGCCAACTATTGTGACATGTTGCTACGTCGAACGCCGTTAAGTAAGAAGCTTACTAGCGAACAAATCGACGCACGATTGCGGGATGTGCTCTTGGTTTTGAAATATGTCAACAATAAGGATGTTTTCATGCGCTATCACAAAGTTCATTTAACTAGAAGGTTAGCGTTGTAATTATTATTAGATATACATATGTATGTGCACAAAGAAAATTTACTTTTCAGACTAATACTTAGCACGAGTGCTGATAGTGAAAAGGAAGAGGATATTGTTGAATGGTTACGCGAGGCTGGAATGCCAGCCGATTATGTGAATCGCTTAGGACGTATGTTCCAGGATATTAAAGTAAGCACTCGTCATAGGATCAAAAAGGGACTGAAAGAGTAGGTATTTAAATCTGTACCAATTTCTTTTCTAGCTCAGCGAAGATTTAAATACTCAATTCCGTAACTGTACGGGTCGTCATGATGCCATTAATATAAAGATACTTAATGCAGGGGCTTGGGCTCGTTGTTCCGAACGTGTTTCGGTGAGCTTACCGCTCGAATTGGAGGACTACATTCCAGATGTGGAGGAGTTTTATAAGAAAAACTTCTGCGGTCGCAAATTGCAATGGTATCATCACATGAGTAATGGTACAATAACTTTTGTAAATAACTTCGGTCGATACGACTTGGATGTGACCACATTTCAAATGGCTGTGCTCTTTGCTTGGAATCAACGGCCACATGATAAAATATCCTACGAGAACTTGCGTTTAGCGACAGAGTTGCCTGGTTAGTATGTATACATACACACTATTGGTTAATGTAGAAATATTTAGATTAAAAAAAAAATGGAAGTTTACGTTAGCTTCCTTCCATTCATTTTTTAAATCTCACTATCACTTTCCCCCAATAGATCCCGAGCTCAGACGCACGCTTTGGTCACTAGTGGCGTTTCCAAAGGTGAAAAAACAAATTTTACTAATGGAACCCCCAACAATGACAACGCCAAAAGACTTTTCAGAGAATACTTTATTTAGTATAAATCAGGATTTTGCTGTAGTTAAAAATGGCAAATCTCAGCGAAGAGGCAAAGTGCGTAGAAAAGGGAAAATTCCTATTATATCTTGCTTTAAGTTATGTACGATCGTCCTTCTTTACAGATGAATTTAATTGGCCGCTTGCAACTAAGTACCGAACGTTCTCAGCAGGAAGACAATCAATCGATTGTTCAGCTGCGTATTCTGCGCACCCAAGAGGCCATTATTAAAATCATGAAAATGCGCAAGCGTTTGAATAATGCAACTTTGCAAGCTGAATTAATTGATATACTTAAAAATATGTTCTTGCCATCGAAGAAAATGATTAAGGAGCAATTAGAATGGCTGATCGAGCACAAGTACATGCGCCGTGATGATGATGATATCAATACATTTATATATGTGGCTTAAAAGGAGCATAATTACGCATTAACAGCAAATGGGCAGCAAACAAAACAAAAAGGAAGAGT